TAACTTGTCCCATCAAATTATTATAATAATATTTATCTATTTTCAATATATGAAATTTTAATCTGATAGAATATGATTAAAAAAATATAATAAAATATTTGTTAATCATATGTGTTATTCTGAAAATCTTATTTAAATTTTAAATGTTAAATTAAATCTAACCTATATTTAAGAAAGTCTATTTAAATTAATATTTATAGACTATAGATATAACCTATATTTAGATAAATTTTTAGTTATCTAAATTAATATCTAATTTTCGGAATTAAATTTATATATATATATATATATTTTTTTTTTTTTTTTTTAAAATTTGGGAATGTTTGGAAATAAACACTAAAAATGCTTATGTTTTAATAGAGAAGATGAGAACATAGAGAAAAACAAAATCTGTTGGAGAAAAAAAGAAGTAAAATCTGAAAAAGATAAATGTCGTGGGGGCATTTGTATTTGAGGCTTTGAGCAGAAAGGGCATATAAAAGAACTTACCTAATTTAACCAATTAAAATCAGAGATTTCCTTATATCTTGAAAAGTGAAAACTCATTTGGTGGGAGGAAGCCACATATACATGTGTGCCTCTCACTCTCAGCCTCTCACTCTCAGGCTCTCACAATAAAAATTTAGGCGCCTAAATCTTCATGATACCACTTCTTAGTACTTTCTAATCAAGGGCATGAACCTATAAACCTAAAAGCACTAGGTTGTCTCATGTTATTTATTTACTTGACCAAAGTAGGGATCATCTTGGATATTTTTATTCATCTCCTAAACCAAAATAGTGTCTTAATAGTACTAGGTTGTTTCACAAATTTTTATCTTTTCATACTTAGAATAGGTTATGATATGGTAGATCTATAAGTTTTATGCGAAATCGACAAAAAAAAAACCCAAAAAGTATTGAACTATGTATAAATGTCAAACACAGCTGTAAATTAGGGTTCTAAAAGTGGGAGAGCCACAGAAACTTGAGACCAGTAGTTTTTTTTTTTTTGGTCCCGACCACGACCAGTTAGTAAAAATACATTTAACTTTCCATTGGACCATGGTCCAGTATACTACCTTTCTTTGCTAAAAGGTGATATAAATGTAACTGTAGTATATAAAATAACGTAAGATCAAATCCTCGATTGATTCGTGTATAGTCTTCACTTCTTCGATTAATTGATTCGGCGATGGTCACTACTCAACTACCCGATTAATATCTATTGATATTTTTAACAACGGTCAACATTGGATGTACTCATGTACACAATTTAATAGTGCATACTTTTTTTATGAAGTTTAAATTTACCAAAAATTTTGATAAATATATATGCCCAATATAGGGAAGATATTTCTCTATTTGGTCGTAACTTTCTTAAACATTGATTTTCTCTTGGTTATGTAAATACTGTTATTTAAATATTTATATATAGAGCAAATTTACCTTAAATTGAAATTAACCAGCTTCTAGATGGCCGATTTGTGTCTCACGAATGTTTGGAACATCAGTTGTCCCTATGAAAATAGAAACTTTCTGCGAAAATATAAATTTATTTTCACCACAAATAAACTGAGCTTTTTGTCTGCCGTAAACCAAATGTTGCATAAGGAAAATAGAAATTTTGTATGAAAATAGAAACTTTCACCACATTAAATTGAGCTTTTTGTCTTCCGCTAACCAAATATTGCATAATGTCATTTATATTGTTGTCGGATATTGATTGCAAGGAGGATGTAACAAAGTCGAAGAGTGGGTACCAAAGTTATAAAGATCCCAAATAAGAAAACGACAATGTTTTCTGAAATCTGACACATCTTTTTTGTGGAGGAAATTTTCATTACATGCATTATTAGTTTTCGAAATCGATTAGAGATGGCGACATATGGAATAGCAATCTAGTACAGTCAATTAACTAAAATAGATAGTATATGAATTATCATCGCACATTTATAGACACTGTTACTGTCATGCCTACAAAATTTGTGGGTGCAAAGAGAGAATCGTATCACTTTGCTACAATAATCGGGACCATATTTTTATTAGTTGTAGGTATCATCATAATTTGTTGAGAAGATTCCTAAAAACATATATATACAGCCATATATAATCAAAAATAGCACAACTTTAATATATTGATTAATTAATGGACTTTTGTTAGGACTTTGCTTCTAATGTACATTATGCAATAATTATAAATAAATCAAATGTTTCGAAATTTTATAATATTATTTATACAATTTGAAGCCATATTTTTTTTGTAGATTGCACTATCAAATTTTTAAGACTATATTATTTTGGCGATAGTAACCATTGCATTTTATATAATGAAAGAAAGATTGTTATAGTTGTCGACATGTAAAAAATCGATTAGAATGGGTAAAACTGTGATATTCTAGAAGTTTGACGTACCTCTAAGAATGAGCATGTATTTTTTTTTTTTTTTTGCTAAATGGTATATATTCATGAAAATGAAAAGATCAGGTGTTACTTGGTTGGTTGATACTAGGATAAGAGTGAACATGTAAAATGGGCAATTTCTTAAGAAGTTAATTGGTTGATACTAGCTATGATATGATGTATAGTATATTTTAGTGATTTTAGTAGTGTTTTTGTTGCTTCATAATCTGAATGCAAATCTGGATAATACATATTATTGACAAAAATATATTAAATAGATAGTTTTTATTAATAAATTAGTGGATTTGGTAGCTTTCACTGTTTCTTCAACTTATCAAATTATCATTCTTAATATGACTTTATGAGTAAACTTAATAAACAAAAACTTAAAAACTTCCTATTTGATTTTTTTTTTCATAAAATCTAAATAAAAAACTAATATGGGCAAACATTTTTAGCCAAAAAAATATCTGGACAAACCAACAAAATTTGGCTAAACATGTTAATATGGGAAAAAATGGTTGATCAACATAAAAACGAGGATAAAGACATTAATATTGGAAAAGCGGATATATTGTGGTGGCCACTGGTCAAGTTTGTCCTCCACAAGTTCATAGGTTTCGTTTTTTTTTTTGACATCTTTATTGCCTTATTGGTTTCGTTATCTACTTAAAAGCTCTCCTTTCCACCATTCGCAGATTTTAACAACAAAAACTAAAACTATTCTAGTTTCGGTAATGCATGAATCCGGATGTTGATACAGCAAAGTCTGCAATGAGATTATCAAGATATTTCCTGGTTTAAACTTTTTTTTTTCTATTTTATAAACACAAATATATTTTACGTTACGCAGCTTAAAATTCTACTTTATATTATAATCAGTGTCAGTTGATCCCCATCTCTCCATGTGGGTCCGCTAGTTCTGTTGCAATTGTAGACTCAAAATTGTAAGATTTTTGTTGTGGTGCATATAATTGTATGTCGAAGTTTCATATTTTGTTGTAGTAGTTGTAACTTTAGCTTTCATAGTAAAGTTTTGTTGACAAAGGTTTTATGCTTTTCAATTTAGACTTTTAGAGTTATATTGAAGTGACTAAAATGATCTACGCATAGTGCTTGAACACGGCAATATCAAATTCGAAAATGCACCATTTACAAGAAGGATTCTTAAATCGCGAAGGAGTTACACATTATAACATTAACATCAATAAACGACTTTTACGTTGACTATTCTCGAATATAAATTAAATAGCTCAATCAACGCAAATTTGATAATTTATTTGGTCAGTGTTGAATAACTTCAGTTAAATTTTATATGACGAATTGAATCAAGCAGAGTTTGCCGTTATAACATTTCTCCCAACCTATCACCTTTAGTTTGACATTTTAGTTTCATTTTATAATTTACAGAAAATATATATTAATCACCCATATTTGTATTAGTGCACATGATCAAGCATCTTGGGGTACAGGAGGAGTGAAGTTCTCGTGTCTCTCGTCGGCACTTTATATGACATATTTGCTCCTAATTTATTATTATCAAGGGGATTTTGTATGACACATATTTAAACTTGCTTGTTGACATAAAAAAAAAAAAATCTTGCATTAGTATTTTGATATTTTTTTTCTTTACTTGAATAAAATGTTCAATATTTATTTCTCTCTGAATATTTTGACTAGTAAAGCAATCCTACCAAAACTTTAAAATGTAGTCCTTTCTCTGCTAAGTATCAGCAAGTGGCATATGGCTTTTTTTTTTGTCGTCACATATGGGTCATGATCAATACGAACTTTAAGATAAAAATCCAAAACAATGAAAAATTTCCGAAAATAAACAATGTATTCCATTCTTATTAGACAAAACAAAAGAGTTCACTTTCTTCCGCAAAGCAAAATTCGTAACTCGTGTTCTATTGTTAGACAAAGGTTCCTCGTCTCGGGAATCCTTTCTCTTGATTGGAACTGATTATCGTTACTACCACCTCTTACAAGTTTGATTCCCTCAGTGATACAAATTAAAATGGAAAAGTTTTTTTTGGGTAAGAAATAACAGTTAAAAATTGCATATGTATATTTATAGACGGTAAGAAATAATGACATTGTACACTAAGAAATGATGGTTCAGTTGTAAGTTCCGAATGGTAAAAAAAAATGGTATGCTAAAAATGGCAATTCAGTTGTGAGATACGGTTAGTAAATACTAAATAACAGTAAAATAAGAGATTTAAATCATCGGCATATAAGATATCTAAAAAAAAGGAAACTAAAATGAGTAAATAATTTAGTAAAGAAATGAAAAACAACGTTGACATGATTCATGATTTATGAATCATATTCAGTACGCTGTACGTGATTATTAGTTTATAAATAGAAACAGCTTAACATACTTTTTTGGTAAACAGATTGAACATTTATGTATCTATCGTCTCTTTATATAATCCAACGGATTACATTTTTTTATTTTTTTGGATTACAACTTACAATGCGTAAATTAAAATTTAATGTCCCATAGGACCCATACGTACGTACAACAATGCTTAGTTTATAACAAACTCATATGGGATTATAATTTTTCCCATGCAAAACACTTTTCCTTTTCTTAAAAAGATTAATTGACGATGAATCACTTTAACACTGACCATAACTTATCCATCATCGAAGATCTCTTGACCTCCTCCTCCTTTTCCGATTTGTGGCCGCCATTACCTCCGGCGAATCTAAACTTAGACGATAATACTCTCCAGAAGCGGTTACAAGCTGTGCTAAACGGGACACACGAGGCTTGGACTTACGTCATTTTCTGGAAACCGTCGTACTACGAATTTTCCGGCGAATCGGTGCTTATATGGGGCGACGGAATTCACAAAGACGACGACGTGAAAAGTCGCCGGAGAAAAAAAACTATGGCTGAGAAAGAGCACCGGAGCAAGGTTTTAAGGGAGCTTAACTCGATGATCTCCGGCGAAGCTTTTCCGGTGGTTGGCGGCGATGACGACGATGATGATGGTGACGTGGAAGTGACGGATACGGAATGGTATTTCTTGGTTTCGATGACGTGCAGCTTTTGTATTGGATCCGGGTTAGCGGGTAAGGCTTTTGCTACGTATAACCCGGTTTGGGTTACCGGGTCTGATGACATTAACGGGTCGGGTTGTGACCGGGCTAAGCAAGGTGGGGGTTTAGGGTTGGAAACCATCGTATGTATTCCTTTGGATAACGGAGTGTTGGAGCTTGGATCCACGGTGGAGATCCGACAACACTCGGATCTTCTTAACAAGATCCGATTCCTCTTTAATTTCAAAGGATCCGATGATTTTCCCGGAGCTCCGAATTCGAAATCCAAGCTTTTCTCAACTCAGGTAGCGAAGGTTAGTTTGAGAACCGTAACGGATAACCCGAATCCGACTTATCCCAAGATCCAGAAAAGTTTTTCCCCCGAATTGAATTTCTCGATGGTGACTCCTAATTCGTCGACGGGAGCTCTTTCCGGCGAAATACTGAATTTCGGTGACGATGTTAAGCGGAATCCCGGAATTCTGAATTGTACTTCTTATCCCGGTCAGATACAGAATGACGACGGTGATCTCTTAGCCGCCGTCAAAAAAATCGACGATTCCGATCAATCCAACATCAATGCCACGGTGGTTTGTGAAAACAAACGGCAAAGCAAACGCGGGAGAAAACCGGCAAACGGTAGAAAAGAGCCGATGAATCATGTCGAAGCGGAGCGGTTGAGACGCGATAAGCTAAACCAGCGATTCTACGCGTTAAGAGCGGTTGTGCCAAACGTGTCTAAGATGGACAAAGCATCGTTGCTAGGAGACGCGGTTTGTTACATCAACGAGCTGAAATCGAGAGCGGAAAACGCCGAAATGGAGAAAATCGCGATTGAAATTCAACTCCAAAAACTCAAGGAGGAGATCTCTGGATGCAACGCGATTTCTAGCGTTTGTGCTGATGGTAAAAACGCATCGAAGATTGGGACGGCGAAGATTGATGTGAAGGTTATGGGTTGCGACGCGATGATTAGAGTGGAATCGAGCAAGAGAAATCATCCTGGAGCGAGATTAATGAATGCGTTTATGGATTTGGAATTAGAAGTTAATCACGCAAGCGTTTCAGTGATTAACGATCTTATGGTTCAACAAGCGACTGTGAAGATGGTATTAAAATTCTACACGGAAGAGCAGCTTCGGGTTATGTTGATATCAAAAATTATTTAGAGGTTTTTTCCGGTGTTTTGGGGAATATGTGGGATCAAATTGTAATTAGTACTTGTGATTTTTCTCATAGTTTTCCCAGCCGTTGGATTAGATTCTATTGCACGTACTCGGCTTAATAAGTTTCTTATTATATCCATCAATCCATGAGATAATGTTATATTAAAGAAAGTAACTAAATTCAATTGTGAAATTAGTACTATGAATAAATTTAAAGTTATAATCTATAGCATATTGGACTATATAGATGAAATTGTTGTACTATCACTAATATGATTGATAAAATTGAAGACGATAGTACTATATATTTGGAAACATATGTACGTACGTAACTAAACCAGCATGTGAGAGATAGTAACTCCAACAAATATACAAAGTGTGAATTGATTGTTCCTATGTACTTTCATAACCAAACCCTCAGTTTCTACAATACACTTAGATTTAATAACAATAAGAATTATCACAATACTGGACAAGCTCTTTGATTCTGTTTATTTTTTTTTTTTAAGGATTTGCAATGTCTTTGATTCAGTTACGATGACAACTTTGATAATGACTTTAAATTTTGTAATGTTAGGGTCTAGGGGAGTTTTCAATGATTGTGATATAGTTGCTGGAGCAGTGAGAGTATCCTAACCAACAAAAAAATGCTAAAATTTAAATATTTTGTGACTTATTCTGTGGTTTGAAGGACAATGCTAGAAGAAGAAACCTTACCGTATGCTGGTGTAGAAATATCAGATACAACCTGCAAAACCTAATCGGCCCATTAATATTGTGTTTTCACGGCCCAATAAATAACGGGTTGATTCGGATATTTTAAAACCGACCCGGTTTGTCTATCCATGGCGCTCTGCCGCCCTCGTTGTCCAAAGTTCCAAACTTTTTAGGGTTTCAATCTCTCTCTCCCTCTCTTCCTCTTTCTCTTTCAAATCAAACGAGGATGGGGAAGAAGAAAACGAAGGAGACGACGAAGGCTGAAGAATCTCAAAACGATGAGTCTCAGGCTCAATCAGGGATCTTCACCACTCTCTTCCCCGGCGATGTGGCTGAAGGCGAAAGCGCTGGCTTTTCGAGTCTCTTCTCCGATGATAACCCTTTCCGGCGAAAGCAACCTGAGCCTAAACCAGAGGAAAACCCGAATTCGATTAGTCCCGAATCGAAGAAAGGAAATAAACGAAATGTCGATAACGATGAAGAGGAAGAAACAGTTGCGCTCGTGAAGACGAAGAAATCTAAAAAGGGGGAAAAACTGAAATCTCCAATTTCGGATTCCGAGGGTGTTGAGAAAGAGACGAATTCGGATGTTGTAGAAAGTGGGTTGGAGACAAAGAGGAAGAAGAGGAAGAGAGATGAGATTGAGAACGAGTACGAGACGAAGAAGTACGGAAGCGTAGAGAAGAAGGAGAAGAAAGTTGGTGAGAAGAGGAAGAAAGCTGATGAAATAGCGGATACGATGGTTTCAAAGGAAGGATTTGACGATGAGAGCAAGCTTCTTAGAACTGTTTTCGTTGGGAATCTGCCATTGAAGGTTAAGAAGAAGCTAATCTTGAAGGAGTTTAGTAAATTCGGCAAGGTTGAATCCGTGAGGATACGGTCGGTGCCAATTGTCGATGTGAGTTAGTTTTTTACCTGAATTTGGATTAGACAAGTCGCAGTTAGGTTGAATGATGTCTGATTTGCTGATTTTTGTTTGACTAGTCGAAGAGAACGAGGAAAGGAGCTATAATGTTGAAGCAACTTAATGAGAAAGCTTCAAGGTCTGTGCTCGAAAACCCTTTATTCTCATTTGATTTTGAAGTTTCATTGAAGAAAAGCGTAATGTTAATCTTTCTGAAAATGCAGTGTTCATGCGTATGTTGTGTTTGAAACAGAGCAATCTGCTGAAGCTTCTCTGGCACTTAACATGTCTCTGGTAATACAACCCCTATTTTCTCTCTGGTATAGTCTTAAGGAGTTAGGTGTAGATTGGTTCATGTTTTAGTGTCTTGTGATAACATTTCAGATTGATGGGAATCATATCCGTGTTGATCGAGCATGTCCACCTCGTAAGAAACTGAAAGGTGAGGATGCTCATTTGTATGATACAAAGAGGACAGTCTTTATGGGTAACCTCCCTTTTGATGTGAAGGTTAGTAGTAGTAGTAATCTCAGGTGCTCTCTTGTTGAATTGCGATGATCGAACGTAATATTCAGATTCTTGGTCTTGTTTTGTTTTAATCTCTTAATAACGCAGGATGAGGAGGTGTATCAGTTGTTTACTGGTAAGAGCAATCTAGAGAACAGTATTGAAGCTGTTCGTGTTATTAGAGATCCTCACTTGAACATTGGAAAAGGAATAGCTTACGTCTTGTTTAAAACACGGGTATGTCAAAGAAAAAACTTCGTTTTTAATCTTAAGCGTTTGAGGGATATAACTAATGAAATCTGATGAATCGTTTTGTTCGTTAACTTAAAAGGAAGCTGCAAATCTGGTAATCAAGAAAGGATACTTGAAGCTTAGAGACAGAGAATTACGTATATCTCGAGTCAAACCTGATGCAACACCATCAAAGAGAAAGAACAGTTCATCTGAAGCTTATTCGCCAGCTCAGAAAAGACAACAAAAAGACAAAGTAGTCACACCAGTTGCTACGGGGAAGGCTAATCTTTCATATCAAGGTGTACGAGCATCGAAATCAGGTGATGATAAGAAGAAACCTTACCAGAAAAGCCCTGCGCAGTCAAAGATGAGACCTAGAAGTAGCAGCAGCAGCAGCAATGAAGGCAACAACAAAGCTGCTGGTAATAATAGTAGTGCATTGAAGCAGCGTAGCCAGAAGCGACCAGCGGTTGCGGCAAGAAAAGCGAAAGCAAACGCAAAAGAGAGCGGTGGTGGTAAGCGATTTGCAGGGACTAAGCGTAAACAAGAAAGCCGAACTCCTGAAAGCTTCTCCAAGAAGAAGAAACCAAAGCGGTTTTAGACCATGGGGATTCAAGTTAAATTTGGAAAATTGATATTGTCTTACTAATATCAAACTGTTAAATTTTTAGCCTTTATTTGGTGGTCAAAAAGATTTACATTTACTATTAAACTTTTTAGCGCTTATCTTCTTTTTTTTTTCCAGCACAAATCAAGTTTCATTTACTCAAATACTTGAAAGTTGAAGCACAGAATTGTTTTTCTTTCATGGTAAATAGGACAACTAACGATCTTCCTTGCCAAGGAATCAGCACATAAATATTTCCCTCTCTACCAATGAACTTAAACACTGGTTGTAACGTATGATTTGCCATCTCTTCATCAGCTTGATGACATTCCGAGAGTCTAGTTAGTCTCTTTTTGGCCATGTTAGCCGCCACGCAGAGAATTAGTAAGACATCTCCAAAGAAAGTGATGAATATTTGGCATAGTCTTTACGTTCCAGATTGGCTTTGTAGAGAGGATCTAGACTAGACTGTAGCATCTTATTTTTGTTGAACATCCAAGAATCACCTTCATTAAAATTTAACGCTTACCATTGAGCTCACTAATTCAATTTTGTTGGTATATCAATCCATGTTCTACATGGAAAATATTAGATGGTATACTATAAGTGAAGTCTAACTTCAATTGGTATGAGGTATTCCTACGATATTTTGATCAAAGATATTTAGATTCGATGAATACAAAAATCCGTAAGAAATATTTGAAGTGATAATATTATAACGTTTTTCTCTAGCATAACTCCCTATTTCCCCCTTTATCTTATTATATAATCCACCACGACCCAAATAACTACTTAATACTTATGGCAATGGTTTTAAATCATCTTGTTCACTAACAATTACTAATTTTCCGTGATTGGAGGATTTGTGATTTAGATTTTGAAAACAGAAACTTGATTAACGCCTAAATGCTGAATATTTGTTTTCAGAATTCAAATATGAAATCGACAAAAAAAAAAAAAAAAATTGATTGATTGGTATGTTTGACCGTTTATCACCGAAAGCTTCTCAAAATGTTTTTCCTTCCATAAGACTTTTGACCATGGATTACTTTCAAATAAAATGGTACCAAGTTCAACGCATCCTAAAAAAAAAATCAAATAATAGACAAAAAAATCGAAATGAAAAGAATTTTACGGTAAAACTACAGAACATTGACAAAATGATTGATTTGACTAAAACCGACTCCAAACCAAAACTCTAATTCATATCAAGCCGATAACTATATATAAAAACTTTGTTTCATTTTCGTTTACTTTTCCTTTCCAGATCAAAAACCCAAAAAATAAACTAAATAGCAGACAATCAAAACCAAAATCTACATAACAACATACACAAACCATATATAAATATATACGGAGGTATAGCATATATATTACTTATGCAAATGAGTTACCATTTGCTTTAATGGTCATGCTTGGCTCCTTGCACGCCACCGGCAGCCGATTTTCAGCTAAAACCAGTATCCACTCGTGGCATACAGGGAGCCAGGCATGACGGTGAATCAATATATATGTATGTAATTGTATACGAAACCTTTAAGGCGCATGAACGTTGGAGGACATTTTTATACGTCGATCTTGGCTTGAATCGAATCAGAATATTTATTTATTACTGCTGGGAAGAGAAAATGAAAGTAGAGAGAGGTATTGGAGATTTTTGGTTCAAGAAGAATTTGTGGTACACAAATATATAAAGGAGAAAGAAAGTACAGAACTAATTATGCTATTGCAAAAAAAGCATATGAACAAAGTTAGGTTTCGATTTATTCTTTTGTTTAATTTAATGTTAAAATAGGACCCATTTACTCACTTTCCTTAAAGGCTTCTCTTTTCCCATTTGATTGAGAATTAAATCATGCAAAGAATATTGTTATATATGAAGAACAAACGAAAAACAAAGATAAGGGATACTGAATTGTTTATTCCTAATTCAAATTTACAAACATTATAAATCTGCTTAAACTCCAATATGTACTTGAATATTGTAAGATGAATATCAAATATGGATTCTTCTTGTTAGAATTACACAGCGTGCAAACCTGCTGGGTTGCTTTTGATTAATTAAATCTTTATATATATGAGACCTTTATAAAGATTTTCACATTATATAAAGGATATATTATCAAAAAGAAAGAGTAAATGGGTATCGATCAATCATCTTCATCGCCACATTGGACCTACATTTTTCATTCCAATCCAAAACTTTAGTGTTAGACAATTCAAAATGATATCCCATTAGTTATTTTGCTTGTGTGTGTGTGTGTTTTACAGTTTGATCGAGTATGCGTTTGTATTCATGTTTAGAAGTTAAAATAATGTGTATTTCTTTAAAAGTTATAATTTTTTTGTTGTATTTATCTAAAGTTCTTTGGAAATTGTAAAATCAAACGTGAAAAGCAAAAAGAAGAAGAAATTTTCGTTTACGTTTTGCTTTATACCCTGTAATAAGTAGTATATGCTATATGCTAAATTAAAAATATAAAGATGATAACTAACACAAAAATGCCACTTCAAAACATACAAATGCAAACACATATTTCGGGTTCAAAATCTTGATAACCTTTGAAAGTATATATAATATAATATGATGAAGCATTACTTGACAACAGAGAAGAACTTTGTTTTAGACTTTTAGTCGTTGTAGACACACTACGAACACATTTATACCAAAGTAACAAGATGTTCCAAACAAAGGCCTTGCAAATGCGGAAATGCCCTTGACATAGCCAATGCCAATGGTGAACCATATTGCGGTTATGTTAAAGATGATTATAAAAAATAAAATAAACATATTAGCGAGTGTAATTTCGAGAAGAAAAAATCGTGTAATTTCATTTCAATTTCTTTCGTTCTTTGTAAGCATTGAAATGTATGTCAAGTTAATGAATGAATAAAGTTTATAGATGTTTCAAAAGTAAAAATAAATTATGTATTTTAATTTTATACTATATATATAACGAAGAGAATTCAATATCAAAGTCTCTAAAGCTTAAAAATTTGATTCTTCTTTCGTAAAATTAGATTTCTATGTCTTTCTTTTTTGGTCAAAGATTTCTATGTCTTTTGGTTTTAAATTTTCATCATGGTTTGTGTGGCCTCTTTCACTTTAGCTTTTTCACAATAATAATAAAGACACTTTTTCTTCCTTTATTTTTATTTTTAAAATATATATAACATCAGTTCTTTCATCTGAGTTGTCTTTTTTTTTTTTTATAAGATTAAATTGTCTTCGATAGTTTGGATTCAATGGACTAGACTAGCCCATTTATAATAAACAAAGTTGGGCCGATATGGGCTGATTTAGCCTCTAACTCAGCTAACTGATCTCCGGCAAGCAATCGGCCGTTTACCCTCACCGGAATAAGCAGAAACAATGGTCTTTGTAGAGCTTGAAGAAGATGTATGAAACAAATGGATTCGAGAGTGTGAACAAATCTCTCTCTCTCTCTCTCTCGATTTACATTTCGCAATTTGAAAATCAATCGATGGGTAGCAAACGCCGGAGATCGGTGATAGCCGTGATTTTCATCTGCTGCGCGATTTCTTGCTTGAATTTTATCTCAAGTGATCAGGTAGATAATCTCCGTCTCGATTTGATTCAATGATTTTGAGAGGAAACTGGATCAGATGATATCGAATTCGATATAATTGAATCTTCCATTCGTGTGTGTTGCTAGCTCTCTCGGATACGAATTCGATTTAGGGTTTTTTGACTCGATGAAACTGTTCTAAAAACTCTTTGAATGATTGCAATTTCTTACAGGTTGGAACAAATCACAGAGATCATAATCCTTGGTTATGTATCTCTGATCGATACATTATGCAATCTTATTTCACTACACGCACTTCCTTAGGAGACTCAGAGTTTCGAGACTACCTGCTTCTTCAAGAATGTTCTGATAAGATTCCTTTTAAAGATCCAAACATTGTTTCATTGCTTCAACACAGAAACATAACAGGTGAAGGTTCGCATCGTCATCTACTTACATCCATCAAGCTTCTTCCTCTTCACTCACAGTCTCAGTTTAACGAGCTCGTCATTGTTGAACGGTTGCCTTTGGGAGTTTTTGCTGACCCTTTTGAGCTTCAGAATCTTCAGCAACGCAGAGGTTAAGATTATGAAGAATAATAAAAAGCTTTTTAGCTTTTCTCTATTTGATCTTAAATATCTGATGGAATCTTTTAAATCTCTTGCAGCTTTCAGAGACGTGTCTGTGTTTGGAGACACGAATCTCGAGCTGCCTTCGTTCAGATCAAACAGGTCTGTTGTTGAGATTCATGTCGAAATCAGTTCTAGAGATTATGAAAATGAAAATGGTGAAATCAGCGTAAAGCTTCCTTTACATGCTCGGTATCAGGTATGTTATCATCACTCGATCTTCAGATTGAATAAAAGGACACTTTGTGTATCTTGTTTTGATCAATATCGATTTTGAATTTTTGATCATCTCCACAGCCTCTGGGAGATAGTGGTTACTCTAGAGTGGAGTTTGGGGAGCCAGACTTGTTCTTGTGCTCGAGCCATGTACCAAACCAGCAACATGAACAGAGAAGATGTTTGGTTTTGTCGATTGGCGGATCCAAGACTGAAACCGGATCTGTTGTCTGGGAAATCCCAGCCGGAATCAGGAGTCACACAGAGTATGTTTCCGTTTTGACATTTGTGGCTGCGGTTTTATCCGCGTTTTCTATCCTTGTGGCATCTCTCTTGAGCTCAAAGGTTGAATCTTGTAAGCACCCGAAGCAATCATGAATCAGCTTTTGGACTTCTTTGTGATAGTCATAGACTCATAGAGACTTGACACTTACGACAGAGAGTAAAAATTTTCCGTTTTTTTTTCTCTCTTCTATAATCCTTAATTAACCTTGGTCCTTACAAAAAACTTGGGCAGAACGTTTTTGCTTAAATTTGGGCAGTTTTAAACCGGTTCAAAACCAATCTCTTGCATGGTAATTCCGGTTAATCGAACTGGAAATTTGGGAGAAACACAAGCAACAGACTTTCACTCACCTCCAACAAAAAGTTTGCACAACAAAAAACCACACACGCACTCTATTACATTAACCAATAGTAGGCACTCAAACCAAACCAAACCAAACCAGACGAATACAAAACCAACTTCTAAGTGTTATCTGCAAATTGCGTTATATACCAAGTAGTTCCACTCATTGATGCTTTAAGATCGACGAACACAATCGAAAGACTTGTTCTTGCTTTCCAAACTCAAGCTGCGAGTACGATAATCACGATCAGGAGTACAATGCCAAATATCACCATGAGCAAGCATGTCTGCGTGTAAACAAGATCAAGACATTAGAATGTAGCCTAAACACATCCCTAAGGTTCATAAGAAACAATTCATTCACTGTATTGTCCGAAAGGTTTTTTATGAGTGTTATTACCAGAGATGAATTTGATCTTTGTGTTTTTGCAGCTTGTGCGAGCTGAGATTTTCCTTGCGAAGTTGCTGCTCGAGAGTTGTCAATGTGAGTACCGATATCATCTGCAAAAAAGAAAGAGAGTGAGTTCAATAACTGTAGGTTTGAGAACATTTTCTTAATTATAGGTTTATTTTACCTATCATGACTCCTTGGTCGTTAACCAGAACCGCAAGATCTTTGAATATTTCGTTAACCTCGCCAATTTGACTATGGATTTCTTGTATGCCTTGCTCTCTTTCTTCGATCACAGCCTCGTTGAATGCAATCTCATTGTCTAACAATACAAGTTCCTGCCTGCAACAATCAAACAAGAGGAAGATAAGTTGCATCACAACGAATATAGATGCGTAGGAGATTTTTCTTTTTAATATCACCAACCTTTTAGACTCCACAAGTTGTGCCCGCTGCTCCGGGATCTGATCTACCTCACTCGCTGTATAGCTATATATGGAGCCAAGACAAACAAGAAACATGATTTATCAAAACCAGACTAACAATTCATAAAGTAAAGCTTTTTGCTTTAAATCATCAAACTTCTAATTCCACATACTGAATTGAAAATTTGAGCTTCATATACATGAAACCACCAATAACAACATATAGTTATACTTTTGCTCTTTGATGACAATTCAAAAAGATTGATACTTTCTAATTCTCATTCTAGATTCAGAATTGAGCTTAATATACATGAAACCACATTAAAAAGACATTACCTAGACTGGTGAGCGGATTGAGGCACGAAAGGAGTATAGGCTGTTTCTCTTTCAGCTGCTGTTTGTTGAGCTTTCTGAAACTCTTTTAATACAGCTTGAAAGTCCTTTGCAAGCTTAGCATCTGCAATCTTCTTACTTGGCTACACAAAAACAACAACAATCAAGAACCATCATCATCATGAACAAAATCAATCAAAAATTAAGAAGATTGACATAAAACCAAACAAGAAGAAAGATTTCACTTTACATTCACACCACTTTGATGATCAGTCTCACTAGCTTCTTTAAGTTTAGCAGAAGTGTCCTTCACAAGCTGCCCAATATGCAATCGTGTCTTGTGCCTACGCAATTAATATATTCAATTCGAACAAAATCGAATTCCACAAATCAATTTAGCAATTAGAATCGATTTAGACCAGATCAAAATGATTTTCTCAAGGAGATTTCAAATTTCAATTTCAACTTACAGCTTCTCCCGGAGCTCCGGCGTGTCTTTTGGAGTACCGAGTGTGTTAACGAGTCGCTGAAATGTAGAAACTCCCGTATTGATCTGGAATATTCCGGAAGCGACGGCTTGCGTCGAATCTTGTCGACCTCCATTGATCTTCCTCGATCTTCCTCTTCCGGCTTCTAAATCTTGAAAACTCATCTTCTTCGGTGGAAATCTCTCTCGTTCTCGTGAAAACCCACCAAAGATTAACGAATATACCCTAAATCCTTTTCTTTCTTTTTTTTTCCCGGGAAATTAATCGAAATCAGAATCCGATCTACGAGAAGGAGGAGAAATTGCTTATCGGAAATTTTCCAGAATCTCTGAGAAGGCAAAAAAAAAAAAAAATTACGGTCAAGGCGTGAATCGTGGAGACAGAGAGACAGAAATTGGAAAGCGTTTTTTAAAAAATCAGTAACTGAATTAAAGAGAAGAAAGGCGTGTAGACATTTTTTTCCTTTTTGATCCTTTTATTTCCTTATATTTAAGCATCTTATAATTGGGGGTATCTTGACCAAAAAAAATAATAATAATAATAATTGAAGGTATGAAAACCAACAATCTGGATTGTTTATCACTAAAACCATCTATGAATAATTATAGAAATAGTTTTATAATTTCACATTTTTGAAGAAATTTTATCACTGATATGTTGGATCTTTTCTTTTCTCTATCTCTGTGTCGCAGCCGTCGACAAAGTCGTAAGTAATGACAAAACGACAATATCGGAAGTGTTTAAAGATATTGTTGAAAAAGAAGTTGTCGTTATAATAATTGTATTATCAAAAAATGAATGCTATAAATTTCCAACGATTATGAAAGACGTCATTAATAACACCTCCGATCAACTTTAAACCTACGGTCATTCAGCGATAAAATTTTTTTGTTTTGTAACTGTTTTACGTTGTCATAATCGCAAATGCAAAAAAAAAACAGACTCATTAACAAAACAAATCCTCAATAAAAAGATGATATAATATTTTAGCATTTTTCCAAATATGATTTTATGCTTTTTTAGTTTGATAAAATATAAAACTGATATCTTATAAATCATCATTCTAATTTCCAAGTAGTGTTTTAATTTAAGTTAGAGAGTGGTCATAATTTAACTAATTATAAACTGAAGGGCGAAATATTAATAAAGAGGATATTTAGTACCCTATCAGCAATTTCGCGCAAGATTTTTCAATGATGAGGTTACTGTTTGTCTGAAGGCGGAAACGGTTTCGCCACGTGGACGACAACTATTAGTGGTAAAGTGATTATGACACGTCTTTGTATTAAGCATACAATATTTATGTTCATCATTAATTACACAATTAGAATCTTTCCCGACAAAGAAAATAGCTCAGCACGACCTTTTTCTTCCTTCACACGTATGAAATCGCCGGCCAAACAAAAAAAAATCCCGACGGTTACACGTGCCATATTTGTATATAAATGGAGTTCCCTTTTTTGGGTTTCTCACATACGACCAAAGAACTTTCTTTATTTGGGTGTTTTCTTGTTTTTGCCGTTTCAAATTCGTTCTTCGCTGGTGAAAGAGAGAACCTTCCGTTAAACCAGATTTAATCGCAATGTCGGTGAGTTTTACATATCAAAATTACTGTTCTCGTCTCGAATTTGAATGATTTTGATCGCCTGATACGAATAGATCTGTTGAGAACCGCTAATTTTGGGTATTAATGTGGACTTCTTTGAAAATGTGATTAGTATCTATAAGATTAGTTTAATCTTTTAGCTTAAGCAAAGGAAAGATGATTCATAATCTGATAAATTCGTTAACTTTAGGAATAACAGTTTTATCATTTTATTGCAGATGGTAACTGTAAAAGTTAGCAATGTTTCTTTATCAGCAACAGAACGAGAACTCAAAGAATTTTTTTCTTTTTCCGGCGAGATTGTTTACCTCGAAAGCCAAAGGTCGTCGTTTTTTTTCCCAATTTACAGTTTCATCTTAAATTGTTTTCAGATTTTCTAAAACCTCTTTGATAATTGGTTTCTACAGTGAGAATGAAGGTTCTAAATTAGCATATGTCACATTCAAAGATTTACAAGGAGCTGAAACCGCAATTCTCCTCACAGTAAATTAATTTCCCTCAAATCTTTAATCCAATGATCAAAACTGGCAACTCTTTGTTTACTATCGATTTTGATTTCAGGGAGCAACGATTGTTGATTCCTCAGTCACTGTCACAATGTCACCTGATTATCAATTACCTCCTGATGCTTTAGCTTCATATGTAAGCTCCTTAAAAATCCATTTCTTTAAACCTCAAGAACCTTCTTATGTGATTTCAATCTTTTCTCTGTTTCAATCTCTGCAGGAATCGTCGAAAGGGAGCGACAAATCATCATCTCCTCCACGAGAAGATGTATCAGTATTCAGAAAAGCTGAAGATGTTGTAAGAAGTATGATTTCAAAAGGGTTTATTCTAGGGAAAGACGCGATAGCTAAAGCGAAGAGCCTTGATGAGAAACATCAGTTAACATCAACAGCTTCAGCTAAAGTCACATCCTTTGACAAAAGAATCGGATTCACGGAGAAAATCAATACCGGGACAACGGTTGTGAGCGAGAAAGTCAAAGAAGTTGATCAGAAGTTTCAAGTCACAGAGAAAACCAAATCCGCAATGGCTGCAGCTGAGCAGACGGTGAGCAATGCTGGTTCGACTATAATGAAAAACCGGTATGTTTTAACCGGTGCCACATGGGTTACTGGTGCGTTTAACAAAGTGAGTAAAGCTGCAGAGGAAGTTGGACAAATGGCGAAAGAGAAAGTTGGAATGGCTGATGAAGAAGAAGAAGAAGAAGAAGAAGAGAAGAAGAAGAAAGTGGTTGATGAAGTTGCTAGTGTTCATTTGCCTGAATCACCAAAAGCTTTGGACCAATCAGAACAAGAGTTAAAAATCTCTGAATTGCAAATGCAGAAACAGAAGGAGACTACTCCAAGTGTTGCTTCAGGTCAACCTTGAGATATTTATAAGAAGAATCTTAATTTCTCCCAACTTTTTTTGGAACATAGAAGCTGACTTTTTAGGACACAGCTTATTAGTTCCAAAAACATTGGATTGAAATCGTTTGCTGTTGTTGTTGTTGTTTGTTTTGTTTCTTCTTCTTTCTCCGTTCCAAAAATGGTGAGAATGCTTAAAGTTACACCTTTTTGTTTTGGTATATTTTCGTACGGTTGGGGTTTTGTTTGTTGAAGCCTTGAAGGGTTTACATTTTCATTTGGATGGTTACAACTATTTTGAAATGAATAGACCCACTAAATTTGAAATCATGTATTAGTTTAAAATATCCATAAAATACTAGATTTCGATTGGTACTTTGCATAATGGCAGAAAGACGATTCAACTTGATGTGGTTAATTATATTGTAATATATTTTTGTTCAGCTATTTTGTAAGATTGAAAAATCATGATTTAGACTTAGAGCACACAATTTTTCTTTCTGTAATTGTTTTTGAAAACATGCTAACAAAAAAATGAAAGGAAGGATAAATCTCAAAATTGTGAATAAAAATGGTATTGGGAACGCGATAAGGATGATGATGACGAAGACGATTCAATTACCCGTAATTAGAATGATTCTATACTAAAAGTCAAAAACACAAAATAGATTCTATAAACTTAGTTTCTATATAAAGTTATCTTAAGAATAATTACATTCAATAGCTAAATATGTGTTATTTAATGTATATTGTTATTGTTGACAAAAAGAAAGAAAGATATGCATGGTTATAGTTATCATGAATTCAACGGCTAGTAAGCAAGGAAAATGGAATTAAAATAAATCCCCATTAATAGCATCAAAGATTTTCTACTATAAAGTACCGAATGATCGTAGATCGACTCAATAACTCAAGACAAGCTTTTTAAGCATTTCGTGAATCAAAAAGACGACAAGGAAACAAAAACCATGAAGGTTTCAATCTTCTTCATTGCTGCATTGCTTATTCTATCATGTAAGTACAAGTGCTATACTACGTACTATCTAATTAATCTCATAAACTATTCATGAGATTGAAGATTCAACTATAAATCATATAGAATTGTATACATACTTATATATCTTACATATATTAAATTATTAATATATAGGTTCATCATCAATGGTAATGGGAGTGAACTACCACGAAGACCATTGCCACGACTCTGAAGATTGTGAAATATGGTGCAAACAATATGTTCCTGAACCGAAATGTATTAACCACATCTGCAATTGTAAACCGCCTCCTTCGACCGACGAAGACCTCCCCACATCGGCTAATTCTTCCAATTTGGATAATTGATATATGATTATGATTCTCTATATATATATGTATCCATCAATATACTTCTTGCTTTCTCTTGTTCTATTATAATGAATAGTTGTAAAAGTTTTATTAATAATAAGTTAATAACCTTCTCGTCGTGTCTTCATTTTCGAATCATAAAAAGTTCGTACTTATACAGTTATACTGGACGTGGACGTAATCCTCACGGAGTCATGGTATGTGACATAGCTGAGTTTTTTTAGTTAATAAATCAATATTAGTTAACAAGTAAGTTAATTAAAAATTTATAAGAGATATTCTGGATCTACAATAATAGCTAATCAATAGCTTATAGTTTATCATATAATAAGGGTCTAATAATACTCAAAATGGTAATAGAGGTATTGTACACTACAAGAGTCAAAATATAATTTGTTCTTTTTTTTTGGAAATAGATTAATTAGAAATGTAATCCAAGATCGTAAATAATACTCCATATGTAGATTAAAAACGTAGTCCGTGATAATAAATAATATATCATATGTCTAGTGGTCTGATTGACCAGACTCCTTATATAAGAAAATGAAGCCATGGTAAATAATGTAATGTGCTCTTTTATTTTTTAGTACCATTAATAAAACCCATACATATTTTATTGTACTTAGCAAAAGAAAAAAAAATCGCCTATTTTCGTGAACAAATTGGATATAGTAATCAGAGTATAGAGATGAACTCAAACAAAACAACCTTCTTCTTGGTCCTCCTGCTCCTTGTATCTGCCTTCTGTAAGTTCTTCGCTCGTTTACAAATATATGATTTTTCACTATTCTTATATGAATACGTCAAATATGTATCTTAGTATATCTAACAAAAAACACTCCCACACACATATAATCTGATGACTATCACATATACTAGATGATTTCCCCTCTCTTCAATGGGCTTTTATAACATAAAATTTGTTTTTATCAAGGAGGGTTTAGTTTTAGTTTTTTTTTTCGTGCGGGTTTATATGTTTCTGAAGAACCAACAAAAAAAACAATCATCTAACTTGGATTCAATTTTAGGTTTAGATCAAAAATCTGAATTTGTTTATATATATATATATATATATATTGTATTTTTTGGTTTTTGATGTCATATTTTGTTTAATTTGGACAAATCCGAACTAAAACCCATTTTTAAAAATATTAATATTATTTCGTTTATTTGAAGGTATAACAATGACAGAAAGCAAGTGTCACAACAACAGAGATTGCAAATACGTGAAGCAACCATGTCCGGTGCCTCTCGCATGTCTATTTGGCAGCTGCATCTGTCCCTGGAAAAATCAGTCTAAGTTCTCAACTTGTCAAATCATATGTGCGCACTCGAAAGAAAAATTTATAACCATTCATGATTCTAGTACTTGCGTTTGTGGCGATAAGTAAGATAAGAAATGTGACAACAGTATAATTTGCAAATGTGGATACAAATAAATATAAGATAATAATTATCGTTGCTTTATAAAAATATCGCCTGAACTTGCCCAAACATCTTGTTTCTTTGTCGTCAACTTGTCATTCACCAAAAAAAAAAAAACTTATCTATTAGATTTGGGATATATGTTACAGAGAATTGTACAACTATATTTTTCAAGATCGATACAACATAATCAAGGAGAGAGTATGACTACTTTATGCATTTACTTAATTATGTAGTATCATGATTTCATTGTGTATATTCTATTGTGAAAGTAGATTCTGAGTCGTTAGACTTTTTTTTTATATATAATTAATGACTAGGAGATTATCCGCACTGGTGTGGGATAAATATTAATCATAATTTTTTTATTAGAATATAAAAATATAATATATAAATATATATATATATATATATATGCAATTTAAAAATATTAACTGATATTTATAATTATAAATTTATGCACTATTATACAATTACAAATAATAGTTATAATTACATTTATTTTGTACTATGATTGCATAAGTGCTAGATAAGTGTTGATTTTATAATTAACTTTAATAGTATTTTTATATGAATAAAATTTCACATTTAAATATATTAATTAGATTAATACGTTCTTTCTAGCTGGTTAACATCAGATTAAGATATTTAAATTTCTATAGAAAAAAAATTATAATATGCATGAAAAAATTAGATTTTTTATTAAATAAATAATGTGATTTTTTTTTAACAAAATTAAGATCAAAGAAATATGTTATAAAAAAATATAGTATTTAGGAACCTACGTAATATTATGTATTAATCTTTTATAAATCTGTTGTTAAGAAATAGAAAGATAAATAATTTCTTTACAAATTAAATGTTAAATATTAAATATATAATTGATATAAATTAATTTCTAACCAAATTAATGTTAATGGCAAATGATATAATTACTCTAGTAAATCAAGCATTTTTTATATGTGTTTTGAGAATTTCTCTTATAATAATATATCAGCATGACACTCTTGTAAATTATAGATGACATAAGATAATATATTAAATTATAAGATAAGATAATGTAAACGGTTCTGAATTATAATTATTCTAGTAACTAAATACCATTGTAAATTATAGATGACATAAGATAATATATTAAATTATAAGATAAGATAATGTAAACGGTTCTGAATTATAATTATTCTAGTAACTAAATACCATTGTTAATATAGTTTTGAGAAACTCTCTAAGTTTAACATCTCAAATCATACATGACACAAATGTTTTTTTAAAGTGTCTTTGTAAAATAATAATAAAAGATTATAAGGCACTACAAAAAAAAGAGTGTTTTACATCACTTATTTTTTATGTTTACATCAGTTTTAAATGATGTAAAAGAATTTTGCATCATTTAAATAAGTGATTCTGAAAGTGGTGATGCAAATAGTTTGCATCAGTTATAGAAAGTTTTACATCGAGTTTTAGAATCGATGTTACTATGTATCATTTGCAAGAAAATGATGTTAATACTTACATCAGTTAATTTAATCGATGCTAATATTTGTTACGGTTATCATAACTGATGTCAAATGATACATCATTTGATAATACATGATGCTAACAACTGTATCACTTATAACAAATGATGTCAATACTTATATTATTTGTGTGTAATTGATGTTAATATTTGCTACGGTTAACATAAATGATGTCAAATGATATATCATTTGTTAATAAATAATACTAATAATTGTATCACTTATAACAAATGATGTCACTATTTATATCATTTGTGTATAATTGATGTGAAAATTAGCATCAGTTACCAGAAATGATCGTAATAGTTATATCACTTATAACAATCGATGCATAAGCATCTTGTGGTTTGCATCATTTTATAGAAAAATGACGATAATCTAATATATTCATAAACGTCATTTTAGCATATTAAAAAATAAATTTAATAAATTTAAAAAATATTTACAAATTAATATTAAAATTTTTAATCAATTAATTAAAAAATTGAATCTAAATTGCATATTAATATATTAATAACTGAATCACAATGAAAATCTAAATTGCTTATAAATTGCATCATCCAAATGAAAAAACTGTTTAAAACATAATTAAACTAATTAAATAAAAAGTTCTTAAACTAATGTTGAACATGCCCACCATAATCTTCAATCACCACCTTTCTAATTTCTGTTGGTATCATCTCCCGTTTCCTAATAAAAAAGCAGACAACAAAATAAGACTAATTAGAATATCATCTGAAATTTAAAACCTATAAAATTAATAAATAAAATTACATTCACCTGAGAGTTAGTAGGATTTGCTAAATTCTTGAAAGCAGCCATAAAATTTTTAGTCCATGCAATTGATGCCTAAATAAACACTTTAAAATATCAGTTTTTTTTAATTATAGATTATATGAATACAATATAAATTACAAATGATCGACATACCTGTTCACCAGATTGAGCAGCAAGTATCTGTTGAATGAACATACTCATAGACTTATTTGTTTCTTCTAGTCCTTTCATATTTGTCTTCATTCGAATATAGGCTTCAGAATTTTCTATCTCTGGTGTTACTTGAGTAGTTTTACCAAATAACTTTGAAGGTGTGGGTCCACGTCCGACACAACGTATTCGTCCTGGCCGTTCTGGACCAAACACTTGGGCATATTCATCATCCAAACTAGCTATAACATTGGCTGTGACTTGTCTTGATGGATTTTGGGTTAACAATGTTGTAAGTGCTTCCTGAAAGTGAATTAAAGTATAATATTCGGCATAATCAAAAGAAAATTTATCAAAGTAGAAATGAATCAATTAAGAATTGAACTAACCCCACGTGTTTTAGCTTCCTCTGATACAAAACTTCCATCAGATTTCGTACGAGTTGCAACGAAGAATTCAGCTCGACTTGGTGTTTTTCCCGTCTTGATTGTCTGGTACATGCAAAAATCATATACATAATTAGATTTAATTCTCATGTATGAGACATACAATATAGTTTGTTTACTTACAATCTCACGTCTTTTCCTTCCAAAACTCTTTCTTCCACACAAATGAGGCATAGTGTTCTTCTTTTGATTCTTTGTATTCCGTTCTTGCATTTTCTGAAAGCTCAAGAATAAAAATTTACATATATTTGATATATTATATAACAGTCTATCTAGTAAATAACTTATACCTTCCAGTTTTCAGTGAATCGTAAGCATACGAAATTATGCCACTGACTTTCAGGAACATTATTGGGTCGATTTTGCATCGTTTCAGTCCGATCATCCCGTTTGTAATTTTTCCAAAGACGCCCTTTGAAACTGTTGCATCTGCTCCCTAGAACACTCATCACATACTTCCTTCTTGTCGTTGGGTTATCAAACCAAAATTTTGCCTACAAATTTACGACATCAGTAATGTATCTTTTGAGCCAATATCTCCATGTGGCGAGAATAATGTGCTGTCATAATAAATTATTAATAAAGAAATTATTATTTCTCATAACTCAAATAAAACTACACAAATATTTGAGTTATTTTACAAATGTACAAGCAAAACCACATAAAATAGTTTAAAAGAAGCAATTTAACAATTATTAATGTAGTTTTTATGATGTATATAGTTGATAATAATATATTCAGGAATCATCTATTATTTTAATTTTAAACAAAGCATATGTATAATATTTTTATTTTTTAACAATAATCCATAAGTACTAAAAACATCCAAAATAATTCTATGAGTAAAAATAAAAAATCTAAATTAATAATATTTTATCAAAAAATATTAGTTTATATATATATATATATACAAATATTTATTGTGTTTTTGTTAAATATTTAAGTGCATCATTTTGTATCATGGAATGTCAATTAATTTAGTACACTTATCGATTGTATTTATTTGAGATAAAACTGTATTCGTGGGTATAGTTTATATATCGATTATCTGCCTTATTCAGATTAATAATTAAAGTGTTAAAAAATAAATTTATTCTTTTAAAATTAAAAATATTTATATCTTGTGAGTTAATATATCTAAGTATCCAAAACGTTTTAACACTATTTATAAAAATACATAGATATTACCTGAATTACATCCCACACCTTATTTTTTGTGTTGTCACCAACCAATCTCCATTCAGTGTAGTCAATAGGTAACAAATTCACATCAGTACTTAATTGACCCAGCCATGATCCAAGTAAACCTCCAGAATCTTCAACTGGTTGACCGCTATCTCCATCAAACTGTACTATCACTTTGCAATTTTGCAATTTCCAAACATCTCTAGCTGACACCATTTTTCCTTCTATGTTCCCAGCCGTATCTTGTTAACAATTATATACATTATGAAAAAAATTATTAGTCTAAGATAACTCAAATCAGCATAATATATTTATAGAATCTATTTACATTACCTATGACTTGTACATTCCATTTGAAGCTTTTGCAGTCTTGAGCAAGTGTAGGAGGAGAATCATAAGTTATATCATCTGGTGTTTGTGTCTCTGAATCCTGAATATCACTAAAAGACTGGAAATACTCCATAACCTAAATTAAAAAGTCATATTTAGTTAACAATAACATCTGTAGCAACGAAAAAACAAAGTGAAGGCAAAATATATATACGTAACAAAATTTCAACTATTCTATAAAATTGCAAATACAAATCATTCATCAAAGTCATCCTTATTAGAAACGAGACTAAAATATACTATAATTTTTAGGATTATAAAAAGGAAGATAGTAAAAAAACTAATAAAAATATGTTGCTTGGATCCAACTGTGTATAGATGAGATCTAAATATAGTGGTTTAATCATACAAACTCCATTCTGAAATGAAAGAGGTGACGTCACCTAGACTTAATCGGCCAGAAAAATTTGTGACAAAAATCTGCTAGATTTAATCACCTAAATTTGTTCATCGATAATTCTGATGCTTAATTCATATCAAAAGCCCACCGTTAGATGTTCA